CTTCACTTGTTCTTTTGGCAACACTTAGGATCTCTCTGATGTTTAAAAGAAAATTGTCTGTGTAACGCAATTCTACTGGTGCCCACTATACCCAAGCTCTACTTTATCCAATCAAATTACTTTTTACTGGTCTGAAGTTATTGATTCAATTCTCAATAGAGATGTTATAAATCCTCAGATAGCACTGAATCTTGTGGGTCACACGTGACCGTTCTAAAGAAACGATTCATAAACTTGCAGTCTCTGTGAGAGTCTAGTTCCTAAAATAGTTGTTCAGATAGGAGGAGACAACAGTAAAAAGTGTCATCCCATCCAAGAGATGGTAGATGATACAGAGGTGTTAGCATGGGCAAGAGCACAAGAAACACTGCAGTCATCCATGACAATTTGAAGAGAGCATATTATATGTTCTATATAATAGTAACAATAAGGTGAAAATAATGAGAAAGAAAAACACTACAAAAGAAAATATTTTTCAGTGAATTTGAGAATAAAGTTCACAGCGGATACAAGAACTGGTGAGTCACCACTGCAAAGCAGTTACAGAACAGAAAATCAAATAGGTGAGGAAGTTGTCTTTTAAGAGATGTGTCTATGCCTTTATTGCAGAATCAGTACCGAGATTTAAATCTCAGGGCTTTTCACATTTATTGTTATGTAAATTGCTAATGTTTCAATAGGAAAAAAACCCCAAACCCTTAGTGAAGGTGAAAGGGGAGAAAGACACAGCATTTTTTAAAATATGAACTTCTGTATTGCACCAAATTCTGGAGTAAAATCTCACCACCGGGGCCCATGTTAGACTCTTATAGCTGCTAACATAATTGAAAAGGTTTGTCTTTCTACAAAGAAGACAACCTTCACTGAACTACTGTAAAGAGCAATTCTCACTATTTCCTCTGGGTTCCTCTTGGCTGCTGTCCAGTAGATCATATATAGCTGCTGTGCTGCAGTATGCAGTGGACTTTTAAGTCTTTTCTTCAGGGAGCACTGGCATGTACACTTCTACCATTGCCTTATGTCACTAAAAGGAGAATAAGTTTTGGTGCACATTGCACTGGCATGTATCTTAGATGGGAAAAACTTGTTTATTGCAGAATTACTTACATAATCCATTCTGTTCCTCAGAGATACACCTGGTATTGGCCTCACATAGTTACCTCAATCTCTATTTTTGCTTCTAGAATACTGGTTGTGTTCATAGCTGTAATACACCATGGTAAACATCACATACTAGAGTGTAGGAGGCGTGTCCAGGGGTGCAGGGGAAGCACCCAGGGCAGGGAAGCTCAGGGTACATGCGCCAGAATCAATAACCTCATTGGTCACAAGGTCACATGGTTTTAAGGGATAAAAAGAGTGCCGGGTTTGAAATAAACTCTCTCTGACCACCACCTCAGCAGGGAGCAGACTCCATTTCTTTATCATATAAAGACCCAACCCGACACTAGAGGTCTGCAGTAGGGAATACACACTTCCTCCTAAGATATTCTGGAGACTTAATCAATCAGTACGGATATAGAGAATTCCTGTTGACTTCACAGAGGTTTTTCTATTTCCCTTTTGGTTTACTGACTCACACTAGACAATAATGAAAAACTGTCTCCACTTTTAGTCAAATAAAAACATACTTTACAGTCACAGAGCATGATAACGTTCAGATCTGAAGCCAGCTTAATCTTAATGATCAAGTTTAAAACAAACCCTGTAGAAAATTCGAACACAACTCTAATGATATTGGGTAAGAAGGGTGTGTGAAATGTAGCTCCAAAATAGCTGAAGTCTCCTGAGTTTACCTACGTGCTTACATCAGACCAAATGTAAGGAAGAAATTTCTTATCAAGAGGGTGATGAAACACTGGCACAGGTTGCCCAGAGAAGTAGTAGATGTCCCATCCCCGGAAAGATTTGAAGTCCGGTTGGATGTGACTCTGAGTAACCTGATCTAATTGAAGATGCCCCTTGTGATTGCAGGGGAAGGTGTGACTAGATGACCCTTAGAGGCCCCTCCCAACCCAAACTATTCTATGATTCTATACAAGCACTCCTTCCAAGTTAATTCAGACCCCAAAGCATTTCAAGAGCCTCATATTCCAGATGGTGGTTGTGGTTCAGATATTTCTTCCTCCTAGTGGAAGCAGAGAGGCAGAAAGAAGATGTGCACCCTGCCCTCCTAGATGAACCTACTCCTGACACATGTGACTAAGAGACTTTCAAGAGAATGGTAGTGACTTTTTTAAAATTAAGTGGCAGAAAATATTTTTAAAAAAATAATTGCAGAAGGTTATGCTTTGCTACAGGTAAACAGCAACACTGTCATTAAAATAGCTTTAAGGCACAAAAAATAGACATGACAGGTGCATATAATGAAATAGATGAAGCAATAAATCATGTTACCAGCTCTGCTGCAGAAAAACTAAGCAGTCCAAACAATCTCAAACCAGTGGAGTATTTCTTATAGACAATGCAGCACAGCAGCATCTCACCATGCTTAGATGTGAGCAAAAACTACTTAGATTAGTTTCTTGTCAAGTTGGCTGGGAGGCACTGATCACTGCTTGGGGACAGGTTGGGCATCTGTCAGTGAGTGGTGAGCACCTGTATTGTGCACTTGTTTTTCCTGGGCTTTATTCCTCTCTTTTTGTTGTCTCCCTTTTAAATACATTATTATTATTATTATTATGATGATGATGATGATGATGATGATGATGATGATGTATTAATTATAATAATTTATTTCAATTATTAAACTGCTCCTATCTCAATCCATGGGTTGTACCTTTTTTCTGATTCTCTTCCCCATGAGGGAGGGGGATGTACAGTGGGGTAAGCAAATGGTTGCACGGTACTTAGTTACTGGCTTGGGTTAAATTGTGACATGAGTTAACTCAGCTTTTTTTCTCAAGGCTGAGAAAGATATATAATCATTGATGTTTCTACTTTTAAACCCCTGGAGGGCACTCTGATACTGCAATGACAGAAGGACAAAAAGTCTGAGGCAGGTAAATGGGTTTTGTAACTGAAATCTGAAATATTATTATCAGGTCCTCCAGAAGATATAATGTTAGTCCTAAGGGCAATACAGTGATGGGGACATATTGCTTCATGTTACAAATCCCATATAATTTTTCATTTCTGTCCCTTCATCTCCCTTGTAACATGACCTGTCCACATGCAGAGATCTGAATGGAAGAGACTGTTTACTGTGAAGATTTGTGCCCAGAAGGAATGCAATGCACTTTCTGCTTTATCTCTGTGAAAAATGGATGACCTTTTCTGCAACACTGACTAACTGACTACTTATTGAAACCAGATATTAAGTCGTGAACATTTCACAACATTTTCAGAAATGGACGAATAGTCATAAGGGCCAGAAACTATTCAAGTAGATGACATCACACTGCAGTTCCAGTCTCAGTTGAATGTCCAGAAACACATGCACATTTTTTCCTGTTAAACCTTAAGTTATAGGAAGTAGGGGAAAATATTTTTCTAAAAATAGGAATTTGGTCTTTTTTGTACATTCAGTTCTCCGTCTGCCTAAATTACTTTCCTGCAAAATAATTTTCAGTGTGAAGCTTTATGATGGAAATTGTTGTTTAGTCTTTACTCTGTATCCAACCCAGCACTACCTTTCAACATCTATACAAACTTTATCTTCAAGCAAAACCATACTATGGGAAGCGGACCGGTTTGTAGTCTGCAAAGAAAAAGGGAAATTTCTTCAGCCTGCTTGCGGTGCATTGTAGCGTCTCTCCCCTGAGAAAGCTGGTGCAGAACCTCTGGGCCTTCACTTTGTGTTGTCATTGGGACAAACTGGGACAAGATGTGTTTGAAAGCTTCTTCCTGCCTGCTGTGTGCTGCCCATTGGCTGCTGGAGCAGCAGAGCAGAAATTCACTGTTGGCATCTGGCAAAGCAGCAGGTGACAGCAGTTACGAGGGGGTGCAGGGGTGAGGTGTCTGCTCTTCAAAAGGGACAAGACAAAGGAGTTGGGGAATTGTCCCGGTGTGGTATATTAATATAATATAAAAGACAGGACCCAGCAGCTAGTTGGCAAGCAGTCAAATCTGTTTATTTAAAAGAAAAATGTCTCCCTATAAACCCTCTGACAGACATGTGACCGCCTGACAAATGACAGCACAACACACACTGCTCATGTGCCCCAATAGTCTGTCCAGGGACTTCAGTTCCCAGAATGCTTCCCTCCCTATTCTCGGGACACGTCCCTACATCCTGGAATTCTGGCATGGTAGGCTTGGGGCACTCAGTGGGCATTTCTTGAGAGCTGTGGTGGCCCCCGCCTGCTCGGGCTGGGATCCCACTTCATCCTGAGCCTCATTTCATGGAAGTGTGTCCAGAGGCAGCCCGGCCACAGGCTGAAGCAAAAACCCAGAGCAGGCGATGCAGGAGCTGCTCCAGCGCCTACCACAGCCTCCGGCCCAGTGGGAGCAGCCCGGGCCCTGCCCCGGGGTGCCCTGAGGCGGGGCAGTGCCCACTCCCGCCAGCCGCCCTCACAAGGCCCAGGCCGCCTCCTTCCCACAAGGCCCAGCAGGGCCGCCCTCACTCCTGCCCCACCCTGCCATGTCCCGCCCGGCCTCACCCTGCACCGTGGCCTCTGCCACACCCCACGGTGACGTGCTGAGCGTTCCACCTGCCATTGTGACACCACAGGCACCAGTCGAGCACAGCTTCGTTGGTGCCCGGAGCCGGCGCTCAGAGCTGCTGTAGCCTCTCGAGGAGCAGTAGCACATCCCGCTGTGGGAGCATTTCGCGCCTGTATCGCCGTCTTGGTAGCTGCAGGCCACGAACGCTGCACAGGGCAACCTCATCTGCCTTGTGCTTTATACCCCGTGCCCATCCTTCTTCTCATCCTCGTCCCTTTGTCACCCTCACCCTTAACCTCACCCTCGTCCCATTCCTCATCCCTACTTGGCGCCCGGCAGCCCCTCTGCAAGGGGGCTTCTTGCACTTCCTGCTGCTGGTAGCTCCAAGCAGGGCCATGCCGTGGCTTCTCAGCAAGAAGCGACGGCAGTCACCATCCAGCACCACCAGTGGGCAGCCCCGGGCTGCCACCAGCTCCACCAGCGCCTCCGAGCTCAGGGAGAACGGGCTGGGCAGGCTGCACCGCGCGGCCGCCCGCGGCGACCTGGCCTGGCTGAGGCGCTGGCGCTGGTATGTGAAGGTCGTCGGCATCGACAGGCGAGACCAGGAGATGCGGTGAGTTCTATGGGACGCTGATGGCACACCTTGGCTGCTCCTGAGCCAAGCTGCAGTAGTCCTCGGCAGCCCTCTGTTAAGGACAAGGCTTGAAAAGTGAGATTTGCCCTGTCAGCTGGGAGAGGGAAATCTTGACCTTTTCACTGCTTGTTGCTGCCGGCCGGGCTCCAGCGCTGTTGGAAACGCGTGTTGCCGACCTGCCGCTTTGCCGTAGTCTCTGCAGGGCTGTTCTGCAGCTGCTCCGCCCTCACCTCTTCTCTTCTGCCCTCTGGCTAATCAGCGCAGGATTGCAGCAGCAACAGCAGCAGCAGCAGAGAGCAGCAAGCGGGAGGAGCAGAGTCCGGGCAGGGTCCCCAGGGTGCTGGGTAGAGACACGGCTTTGGCTCATCCTTTGTCTGTCTAAGTTAAGAGCGTGTGTTTAATTTTTAGGACACCTCTGCATCTCGCTTCGGCAAATGGCCATGCAGATGTCCTTAGATATCTGCTAAGAAAGAACAGCCAACCGAATCTCGCTGACAACTTGAAGAGAACGGCACTGATGAAGGTGTGTGGAATGCCTTATGATCTTGTAGGTGGGGATTAGTGATGGTGTGTTAAAGGGGAGGTGTCTGGCAGGATTCCATGCATCACTGAGCCATAGAAACATGCATATTGCAATTGGCGTGGCATAGGCCTCTGTTAGCTAATCTTTGAAGAGGAGCTGAGGAAGTTCTGACAGAGGGGGATGTAAAAGTTGGAAGTCTTTCCCTTTTCGTGTGTTGTTCCCAGGCAGTACAGCAGGAGCAGGAAGAATGTGTTGCTATTCTGCTGGAACACGGTGCCGATCCGAATCTGGCAGACGCTGGCGGCAACACTGCCCTTCACCTGGCTGTCCTGTCTAAAAATACAGCTGTAGCAGGGCTGTTACTCGAGCATAATGCCAGTAGTGATGCTCAGAACCAGGTAACCTTGGCACGTGGGTAAAGCTGCTCTTTCAAACAGCTGCAGAGCTTGTCTGTGTCTTTCTAATGGCGATTATTTGTCCTTTTAGATGGGATTTACTCCCTTAAAACTTGCAGCCCTCCTACAGCATGAGGAGATTCTGGAGTGCCTTCTGAAAAAAGCAGCGGACAGGCATGCTCAAGCCCAATTTGAAAGGTGAGGGGTTTGTCAAAACAGCACACGGGTCTTCTCGGTAGCCTGCAAGCAAGACCGAGACGAGGGGCGTGGCAATGAGCTTGGAAAAAGAAGGAGGAGCCACGTGGAAGCAGTTCCCTGTGTGACTGGTAAATGCAGGTCTGCACTTGGCTGCTCTCGTACCTTAGGGGCTCTTGTACCTTGCCCGCTGAGGTCTGCAAGAAAGCGTTGTCTGTGGTGCCCTCTCCCCACACAGACCCAGAGTCATCGGGAAACTTGCCAGTAGCTCAGCAGCATGGCTGCTCTGCAGGCAAGGGAGGTTTAAGCCAAGGCATAGTTGGTGCGTTAAGTGCTCTGAAGGGAAGCATTGGGAGAAAGAGAAGCAACAGTGTCTGAGGGAACACGAGGGGCTCCAACCACACATAAGGAGAAAACTTCCTGCCATGTAGATGGTCAGGCAGTCGAACGGCTTGCCCCAGGAGTTTGTGCAGCTGCATCTGTGGGGCCTTTGAAGAGCAGTGCAAGGAGCCCTGAACAGCATGGCCTGACCTTGTAGTTGAGGCTGCTTTAGGGAGGCCCCTTCTAAGATAAATTCTCCAATGCTTCCATGTACTTGGCTTCGCTTTCACGGAGCTTGTAGGAAAGAGGGGAAGAGCTCTTTCGGGAACAAGCAGGGGAAAAATGATGCGGGATCAGACATGTTTCGCATTAAATCTTGGATGCTTTAGGACTGCTTTTGTGGTTACTGGAACCCATGAGGCTCACCTGGAGGAAGATAATCTGCGCTTGCAGGAGGAGTTGGACAGGGCTGACACGGAGGTATGGAAAGCCTGTCCCTACAGGGATAAACCAGACAAAACAGTATTCTGGGAGCCAGTAGGACAGAGACCTAAGGAAGTGGCAGTTACATCAGGCTTTGATCTGCCTCTGTCCCTCCAGCCCCCTGCCCCACAACCCGCCATGCTGAGGCAGAGCTGCCTCTCCTTAGGGTTTCACCCGTGACCGGCCAGGGGGGCTGGGGTTCCTCTCTCTCTGCTACATTCAAGATTTTCCTGGTCTAAGAAGACTCCCCACACACCCCTGGCGTGATTCTCGACTCCAGGGCAGGTCTGTGGAGCAGTTCACCTGGCTGCCTTTGCTGAAATGGTGGTCATTAGCTTGTCAGTGATGCCATCCTTCCTGGCCCCACCACACTGAAGCAGAGCCGCCTCTCCTCAGGCATCCACTGCTTCCTGCTTAGGGGCTGCTGGGCACCTCTCTCTGTGCTACAGTCGGGGTCATTCCCGCTTAAGAAAACTCCCCACGCTCCCCCTGTGCAATCCTGGGCTCCAGAGCACATGTGCCAGAGCACTTCACCTCTGACACTTGTGAGATGCCTTCCTTTAGGAAGATGAATTAGTTCACTCATCTTTTCCTGGAGCAGCAAGCAAGGGAATACAAGAAGCGTCACAGGTCACAAAAATGGTCCGAGGGGCAGTGTCAGTGCTTAGAACCGTGCTGTAGGAAAGCAGTGGAGGGGTGGGAGAGGCTGCTGTAAAAGAGGACAAAGGAATAGAGCTTGTGTTCATTGGGTAGTAGAAGTGAAGCTTTGAAGGTACTTGAATTGATTCCAGTTCTTTGGGCAGAGGGTATGCACACATACATGCAGCACCTGAGTTCTTCAGCAGCAGCTGGCTCCTCTATGTAAAAGCTCCCCTGACAACTGTGGAATCTTACCATGATTTTACAGCTGCAGGAGGAGGAAGAAAAGCATCTTCAGTCTGAGCATTGCGTTCGTGACTTGAAGACTGCCTTGGATGATAAAGAAAGAGAAGCAATAACTTCTTCCCCAAAACTGCAGGACCTCCTGTTGGCATCTTCCGAGACTAATACCACTCTAAAACAACTGGAAGAACACGTGCAACAGTAAGAGAGTAACCCAGTGAAGCGAGGTGTCTGTCGCTTTGGGGGATTGGGTGGAAACAACGGGACAGTCAGTTGGATTTTGAAGGACACTTCTGCTGTGGATTCTGTTACTTAGCACAGTTTGTCTGGAACTGGATTTTCTGGTAATAAGACCCGTATTTGTTTTTAAGCCTTGAAATTGAAAAGACCAGATTGGAAGCCACTGTCCAGCAACAAAGCAATAGGATTGAAGCCCTTCAGAGAGACCTGCAAGCCTCTGCCTCAGTAAGCTGGTCATAAATTTCCCTTTTTGTGACTCTTGAGCCTAGTTGCCTATTTCTGGGGGGAAACAGTAAGGTGAAGTTTTCCTGGAGAGCCTAGGGGAGCTCAGTTTCTGCCTTCTCCTCAGTAGAGGCTGCTCAGAAAGCAGCCTGGTCCTTTCCCCAGCTGTTACAAAAGCCCTGAGGGTATTTGCTGTGCTGGACACTAGAGCAATTCTTAGATTAGAAATTATGAGTTTCATCATGAGCTCCAAGGGACCCAGAAGTATTGCTCCCAGAAGTGTCTCACAAATTTTTAAGTAGTTGTGAAGTTTCTTCTTTCTGTCAGGGAATCTTTCAAGTGTTTTCTATGCTCGTTTCCAGCAGATGATAAATGCAGTTATGATGGCCACCCTCTTTAGAGGTTTTCCCAGAATTCACTGCCTTTAGATCACGCTGAGTTTCCTTTTCTTTTTTTTTTCTGTGTACAGGTTGGTGAACTTTCCCAGCAGCTGGACATGCAGCTAGAGGCCCAAAACCAGACTTTGCAAGAAGAGCTGTCCACTCTGCGTGGGAAGTATGAAAAACTGGAGAAGAGCAAATGCCAGCTGCAAGAAGAAGTGACAAAAGTCCATCATCGTTTGGAGACTTTCGTGCTGGATGGCAGCCAAACAGCACAATGTAAAAGAGAGGTGGAAGAACGAGCTGACCAGGAAATACGTCAAAAGCCACAAGACGTCAGTCTCGTTCTGCAAGTAAGTGAATTTCTCACCAGTGTCCACAGGTGCTACGTAAACTTCTGTTGTGGCCATCAGTTTTGGTATTTTTCTTTTGCTCCTGTATTCTGTGTGTTAGCTTCTGCCTTTCCTGAAGGCAGTGGGAGAAGGCAATATGGTTGGGCAGGAGGGCTGTCATGGGTGTGTGATGTGCCAGCAGGTCCCTGAATCAAAAGCCTGCCCCAGGCAGATTCCCACTTTGCAGTGCTTGGGGGTATCTCTGTCCGCTGGCCTGGTTCTCGCTGCTCATCCTTCAATGGGTTTTGCAACTGCCAGCTGTCATGGCCAGACCTACAGGTGCTGCTTTGTCCTTGTAGGGGGGAAAGGTGCTCAGAAAAGGAGTCACTGAAATTCCAGGGGTGGGGGTGAGGGGGTGGAGGTGGGGGATGCTCTTATTGTCTTTGAGGAATCCTTTTCGATATACCCTGTCCTACAGATACACTGTCTCTTCATTAGGAGCTTTGAACAAGAGTGCTGATTTGGGCTTCTTTCCCAATGAAAAGAATTATTTGCCGTGGTAGCTCCTAGCTTCTGCCTTGGTTGCTGCTGGTAGTGAGGAGGCACAGCTGCCTCTCTGAGTAAGGCAGGGCCCTTGAAACTGGATATGTGCAATTTTCTGCTGGAGAGAGTTCTCTTTTTCTTGTGGTGGTTGAAGGTGCACTGTCTCCTTCAGGCACAGGCAGCCTCCCAGGCTCGATTAGGACAAAACGGAGACAGTCATTGCGATTCAGTGAGAATCCAGTTAGAAGAAAGAATTAGAGATCTCGAAAGTGAACTGGACAGGGTAAAGAAAACCCAACAAGAGAGGGCCTCTCATAAAGAAGCAATGCGAGGAGAAATGGAAATGTACAAAGACCTGTATCTGGAGGAACTGAAAACTAGAAGATGCCTAGAGAAGAAACTGGAAAGGTAAGTCCATGCTTTTTTGGAGTGGTAATAAGAGA